GAAAAGGGCGGCCTACAAATGTCAATAAAATCAAAAATCAAATCAAAAATGTAACACAAAAAACGTAGCAAAATAAACCACAACAAAAAGGAAACTTGGGACTTTGCCATAATTAGGAAGAGTCCTTGGCAGAGTGGATGGGCAGGCTTGCTTGCTCTCTGGAAGAAGAAGGAGGAGGAGGAGAAGGGGGTGATGGTGGAGGAGGAGGAGGTGGAGGAGGAGGCGAAGAGGAGGAGGAGATGGAGAGGAGAGGACAAGAAGAAGAAGAGGAGAAGGAGAGGAAGAGGAGAAGAAGAGGAGGAGGAGAAGGAGGAGGAGGAGAAGGGGGTGATGGTGGAGGAGGAGGAGGTGGAGGAGGAGGCGAAGAGGAGGAGGAGATGGAGAGGAGAGGACAAGAAGAAGAAGAGGAGAAGGAGAGGAAGAGGAGAAGAAGAGGAGGAGGAGAAGGAGGAGGAGGAGAGAAGAAGAAGAAAGAAAGAAAGAAAGAAAGAAAGAAAGAAAGAAAGAAAGAAAGAAAGAAAGAAAGAAAGAAAGAAGCCAGGAAAGGGAAAGGTGTCTCTTCTGCCACAGAAAGCAAGGCAAGAGCCTTTCTAAGTGCCGCTTCAGAACAATCGGAAGGGAGAGAGCTCCACTTATTCAAAATGAAAGGTTGCACAAAACAAGCTTACGAGTGAAGGCCGTGAACCCCTCCTTCCACCTGAGCAGACGTCGTTCTCTTCTCGAATTTCAGCTCTCCGGAATACATCATGGCCCTGGCGGTCAAAGGGAAGAAAAAGCAACCTTCCCCATCTGCCACAGCACAGCACAGGCACTAAAACCGAAGGGTTGTACGAACGACCCAAATCGATCTTTACCAGGAATTGAAGTCTTGCTTCATAGATTTCCAAACACGCAGGCACACAGCCAATGGCAAGAGCAGCTCCAAAACTGCGCTTGAGCTACAGACCAGGGTAATGACGGAAAAAAACTGTTCCTGCTCTCACCTCAGCTGTGTTAAACTCTTCGAACCGATATCTTGGCAGGAGTGCTGGATGCCAGCAATCAGGTATGGCACGAACTTGTGGATGGAGCCCTTGTCCTGCACGGCCCCAGAGACCCCCTGGGCCACTTTAATTTTATCCGTCTCACTGAGAAGAAACAAATCACGGAGAAAAGAAATGTTTGAAAGGAGAAAAAAATACTAACTACCTGTCCAAAGGTATTAATTTATTCAGAATTGCATTCTGGCAACTTCTAGAGGAAGGTAATCCTGTTAAGGTGAAAAAGCCCTGAAGCTTTACACAAACGTTCCCTTTTTTGCATGGATTTGTTTGTTGGCACACTAAGGGAGCCGAGGTGGCGCAGTGGTTAGAGTGCAGTACTGCAGGCCGCTTCAGCTGACTGCTAGCTGCAGTTTGGCAGTTCAAATCCCACCGGCTGAAGGTTGACTCAGCCTCCCATCCTTCCAAGGTGGGTAAAATGAGGAACCAGATTGTTGGGGGGGGGGGGGGGAGGGGCAATAGGCTGACTTTACAAACTGCTTAGAGAGAGCTGTAAAAGCACTATGAAGCGGTATATAAGTCTAAGGGCTGTTGCTATTCTAACTATTCCTCTTACCTGAAATATCTGTTCTGGCTGCCCAGGTTCTTGTCCATTGCATCAAGAGATCCCATGCCACGATATTTCTTCAGCCTGATCCCATCGGAGAAAAAATACTCCCCTGGGGCTTCTGAGGTAGCAGCTAGAAGGGACCCCATCATCACTAGAACCAGGAAAAACAAATGCTAGCAACAGTGTGTGAGGGGATGTGGAAAAAAACACAACAGGAAATAGGACAGGAACTTGGGGGAAGCAGGTTAACTTTGATATCAGCTCCTCGGATGAAGCTAATTGCGTTCGTGTGCTGAATATGCCCATAAACTAATCAAGGAGAGAAATTCTAAGGAGGAATTTCCTGACAGGTAGAACCATTAATCAGTGGAATGACTTGCCTCCAGAAGTTGGGGATGCTCCATCACTGGAGGTTTTTAAGAAGATGTTGGACAAGCATTTGTCTGAAATGGTATAGGGTTTCTTAACTGAGCAGGGGGTTGGACTAGAAGACCTCCAAGGTCCCTTCCAACTCTGAAGCTATAATTATTCTGAAGCTATAATTATATACAAGTGCTTTCTATCTATCATCTCTCCAGTGGTGGGTTTCAAAAATTGTTCGAACCTACTCTGTGGGTGTGGCCTCCTTTGTGGGAGTGGCTTGCCATCCATGTGACCAGATGGGAGTGGGTTGGCGCCCCCC